TAGAAAAGCGTGTACTATGCGTGAACGTGAAAAAAATGAAAAACTAGTGTGCAAGATCTTTGCGCAATAGAGCGATTGAAATTCTCACGCCACTTTTCAGCGGATTTCCATGAAACCGATCTCGGTACGTTTTTTACTTATGTTTCCGCCGCATTAACAAGATTTGCGAGAGATCCAGTTTCATAAAGCAACCAGTGTCACCACTCACAAGCAGTGCACCGTTCCGTGTTTCCGTTGAACTCACAAGTTAAAATGTACAGATACTGCACAGCTTGGCTCATTGCCAATAAGCATAACCTCTTCTTCGTTACTTCCTTCTATAGCCTTTCAAGTACAGAGATCGTTCTTGCGATGCTCTTTGACTTGTGTGGGTTGTTGCGAGATTTTCACGTTCAAGCAATGAACGTTTGCTATTGACAGAGCATCGCATTGATATCGTCGCGATGTTTGCGCTGTGACAACGTCGTGACGCCAAAATCGTCTTTATAATCGTGCTCATCTCGCGTCATATCGTTGTCGGAGCGCAATTTTCTGGCTCGACTGTCAGTTCGAAATCGTTTCGTGATGTGAATTTTTTTAATGCGACCAGTGTCACCGTCACTCATGATTCACATCGTTATTATGTTTCAGAGGTAGTTATTGCATTATTGTTGCGATTCGACATCGCGTGACAGGTTATGTCTTTGTTCTGGTCCTCAAAATGTCATTTTTCGAACCACCTCACCCTATCCTCCCTTATCGCCGTGAAGCGGTAATTATTGGCACTGTATTGGCGTTATGAGTGCAGCGTTGTTCGTGCTCTAGTCAAAACTTCTGCCCCACTGGGCCTCACTTAATTCCAAGGGCAGTTTCTTTCTCATAATCAGTTTGATTATCAGCAGATCGTCCAAATGTGGTCCCAGCAAGCTAGCACGTAAGAATGTGTGCAAAATATCACGTAAACCTCACGTGAATCTCGTAGCTACGCGATTCGCTTCGATCATCGTTGTTTCTTATCAAGTCAGTCGCTGCTTAACACACAATATGTGGCGTTTTGAGGTCGTTATCACCGGGGCAGGCGATGCCACTCTGCTTCCTCATATTACGACGACATGCCTACAAACGCTGATACGAGTAAGGAACAGGGTCGTCATGGTAAGCGTCGTTCCCTTTTGCGGTTGAGATGAGGTTGCCGAGGTAGCGATGTCAATTTGCGCGTTCCCATACGATCAAAATGACGCTGAGTGCGAGCGAATTTAATTCCGTTCATTAGTAGGCACATTAGACTGTGCATTGAGCGATTAAGTCCTTTTTCAGCTGATTCGCAGTTTCTGCGCACTTCTGAGCGAAGAAATAAAAGTAGCCGCCATGGCTACATTTCTGCGTCAGTTATGCTTCAAAGACTGGTGTCCACACTGAACTCGTGCAAATAATCAATGAGAAATCTTGAAATGTTCTAATCTGAAAGTCCTTGAAAAAGAAAACGAGAGCTAGCAAATTAAGAGACCAATAAAAGCGACCGCGCCGGGTCGTAACGATTAACAAAAGTGGTCCGCCGCGCTATTTGACCTACCCGACTCCATGATCACCCTTTCTTCGTCATTCGTACAATTTTTCGTCGACCTCTTGAGTTAGAAGGCATTGTCTCGTAAATTAGATATTGTTTTCAGGCTGTCTTTCGAAAATGTTGCCATTATCGCAGTCATGGTATTATTGGGCAATGGTAGCACTTCTTTTAGCACAGGTAAGTAGATTAGCGTTTTGCTAATTTCAATATCTCGATTATGCATTCTACGAATTTTCTTTTTTCATTGACGCTTTGCTGTGGTCGAATATTTTGATTTTCTGTCCTTCTACAGTTTATGTATACTAGACATCTTAGCTCGTCTTTCCAGGTAGTTTTATCTATCAATTATCATATACTGGTCTGCAATATGCCGATTGCTAATACTTTATTGTTACTGGTAATTATGGCGCATCATGGATATGCTCTAGGTGATCAGGCTCGTCCGCTTTTCCACCGGTAGGTGTTTTTGGGATTGGTGATCGAAAGCTTCTCTTTTTGGCCGTTCAATTGACTTGATCTGTTATAGAATATGCGGTTGTGTCGCTTTTATTGCTGTCTTATTCGTAAACACTACTCACGCACTCGAACTTCTTACTGATTATCATGATGATCACTCTCATTCACATGGAGAGGACGAACACCACGATGAACATCACTCAGACGAATATGGCTTCGCTTTCGTGCCAAGTAAGTATGTTTGCTACCTTTTGGCTTTATATGTTCCTCAAGTTACTTTTACTTACTCGTTTTCACGCACTTCATTTATGCTTCGCTAGCGTTTTTTTTTCGTATTTTTGAAGCGTAACACCATCGTGTTCTTTTCTTTCGCATGCGGTTTAGCTGATGACAGAAATCGTTTTCTATATTATATCGCCTACTCAAATCTCAAAAAGAAACATCCTATTTTTT